AACAGTATCAGAACCAGTTGTTCAATATATTTACCATTAATATTTATAAAAATCAAATAGTCAGTTTTCATCACAGCTTTTTTTTCTTGGTTGCACAGCTTCTAGTCATGTATATTTATGCTTCCGTTTTTTTCCAATCATAGTATTTCAGCCATCATTTGTTACCGGTGTCAAATAAATCTGCTTTTAGGTCTTCAGGATCAGCAGTATGGGAGCCTTAAAATGAAAATGAAAACTGATTCGTGAAGTCAGTGATAGGTCATGTCATTTTACAAAATTTCCCCCATTAAGATTCTGTTGCCGGTGGCCATTATTCTCAAGGCGATGTGAAGACGTCCGGTAGACGTACATCAGTGCCTCCAGCAGGTGGCACCCAGAACCATCAGCACAGAACACTGCTTAGAGAGAAAAGCAAGGAGAACCAACTGGACAGGAACAGATGCCACCAGGAGGACAGGAGTTCAGAGAAAAGTGGCTTTGACATTGGTCAGTATGAACCCACCACCCAGTCCTCACCTGGGTGCAGTACCTCACCAAACTAAAATACACTGTTTGAAACTGTTGGAGTAAAAAGGTTAGGTACTCCTTATCTCTGTGTACACCGGGCTGTTGCTCTATTCACACTGAAATGAAATCCTGTGTTGGCTTCACACAGCCACCATCTGGACTAGAATGCTTCCCCCTGCACTGAGCATTGAGCAGTTAGTCATCCTGCCCACACAGGAGTTAGGTAATCAGCACAACGAGGGGTTAAAATGGCCATGAAATACCAAATAGAATGTTGGAAATGTCCAGCTTGGCTACGACATAATATCGAGTTTACAATGAGGCTGCTGTATGTAGCGGTTGTGCAACATATAGTATGAAGATGAAATAGAGAGTCCTGGGTTCCATTCTCAGAGGAACCACATGCTTGGTGCTTGCTAAGGGCAGCCTGTTAACAGCATATCTGCTGCAAACAACAATTTCCCAAATATCGAATCAATATAGTACAAATTAAGTTCATTTATTTATTGTGAAATGTCAACATAGAGCCTTGTTGTTAGTTTAGCTCTGGATCCTGACGGTCAACACTAGAGGACGTTGTTGGACCATGCCTTTGTCTCTGGATGTGCTCAGAATGTTGTTACAGATGTACTGCAACATGAACCTCTAACAAGACACCTTCATTTGTCTTGGACATTAATGGATTATGGTTATGGATTTTTATTTCCACAGAGATATTTTTCCCCCCTAGAAATAAATGTTCATCCATTGGACTTGGGGTTGGCAGAGTGATTCCTTATTCCCTTCCTAATGTAAATAGCATTAGTGATGTTCTTTAAGTTTAATTCTTGCCTGTTAAATGTGCCCTCAGGGTCAGTGAAAGACAAACTGAAAGAGAAACCGAAGCAGAAGGACTTCCTCCGCATCAAACTGAAGAAAAGGAAGAAAAGAAAGAAGGCCAAGTCTGGTAAGAAGAAGGAGAGCGCGGCGTTTCTACTGCTCTGCATGTGCAGTCGCTCTAATTGTTACAGGAATTTGCTTGCATGCACTGCATGAACTGCCCCTGCCTGGTGTAACTGTGGTGACTAAGGCTCTGTGGATGGCACAAGTTGCATTTATGTTGCTCCGTTGTACCAAAAGACGAGCTTTGTCGTGTTGTTTTACCTTAATATGACGACAGGATTCATGCAAAAATCCCTGTCCTCAGCTGCAGCTAATCCACAGACTTAGTCATGACATCCCCACGTCCCTGGTCTCATTTTCCTCATTCTGTTTGGCATTTTCTATGTTGACCTTTTTTTATTATTATTTTGTTCTGCGTCTGCTTCCCCCCATGTCCTACATGAACAGACTACACAGGTAGTGAGGAGAATGTTGACGTCTCAGTATTGGGTCGTCAGTCAAAATTGAATTTGCTACCCAAATCCCCTCAGTCAAACAATCACAAACCTGAGGCCTACCCCAGCAGGCCTGGAAACAGCTACTCAGAGCAGATACATGTGGATGGTGGGTATCTCTGTTTGTGTCAGTGTCTGTGTGTGTGTGTGCGTGTGCTGATGTAAGTGAATGTGTAATTAAACTGGCCTCCCCCTGTATTCATTTCCCAGAATTCAATCAATCATGCAGCTTCATAAGCAAATCAGAAACGTTGCCAATTACCTGTCCTGACTTACCACAGCAGGTGGTAGGATACAACTGCCTTGTGTGTTTACTGTGCTGACTGAATTGTTTTTTTGTTTTTGTTTTAAGTTAATGTATCGTTGTGCCTACGGTCCGGCTGTATATGGTATTGTATTGCAGTTTAGAATTAAGGCTTGGTTGATTGAATCCTGGTGTCTTTGTCGGCTGCTATGGCTTGCTTCATCATGTAATCGTCAATTGTTCACTGAACCTCTCTTGGCTCCTTCAAATGACATGCTCCTTTCAATTGTTGTAGAAAGAATCCTTGTTCGCCTGCATCACTGCTGTGTTTGTTGCTGTTGCTGCAGATGAGGACAGTTTCAGTGACTGGTCGACCGACAGCTGCGGCTGGAGCGACGACGACATGGGGGTGGATCTAGACGTCACCACTCCTCCCCTCAGTGTGGACTCGTGCGCTGCAGACATCAGTGACCAGGAGGTGGTGAGATGCATCTGTGGAGTAGAAGAAGAAAACGACTTTATGATCCAGGTGAGCATGTTGGTGCTTTTCACAATTTCTCATAAAAAATGATTTTTTATTTCGACTTTATGATCCAGGTGAGCATGTTGTTCTTGTCACAATTTCTCATAAAAAATGATTTTATTTTTTTACCTTTAAAATCCTCACAGCAGTGAACTTCAACTTAGGTTTGGAGTATAACCCCGGTCTCTATCTTGTCCTCCTTTAGTGTGAAGACTGTTTATGTTGGCAGCATGGCACCTGCATGGGTCTGCTAGAAGAAAATGTTCCAGACAAGTACACCTGCTACATCTGCAGAGACCCACCAGGTGAGGCAGGGACACCTCTTTTTTTTTTTTTTTAAATTTGATTAGATAGAAGATGATGACTAAAGGCTAAACCCTGTTGTGATGTCACACAGGTGTATCTGCAACCAGCAGAACACTGAGAGCTGAGGTTCTTTTTATCCTAAGGATTATCAGCTACTGCAGTTTGAATAATCAGATTATATAAAAAGATACTCACTTTCAATTGCAATGACATGTAATTCATTGTGGTAAATAGTCTTGCTATCATTCAAGCATTAGAGCAGTGGTACACTTATGTCCAGTGTGCCATATTCCATTGAAAGCCCATCATGCCCCCCTGGCAGCTCCCCACGCCCCCCCACACAGGGGTTCGCCCCACTGTTTTAGAAGTACTGGATCAAATGGATGTTTATTCAAAATCTTGACTTTTTCATTAAATGTGGATTGATTTCCCTCATATCCTCAGGTCAAAGACAGAGTCTGCGCTACTGGTACGACCGTGAATGGTTGACCAACGGTCACATGTATGGTTTGTCCTTCCTGAAAGAGAACTACTCACATCAAAATGCCAAGAAAATCACCACCACACACCAGCTGCTGGGGGACGTTCAACATGTGTTGGAAATTATCAATGGACTCCAACTGAAGATGAATGTCTTACAGTAAGTACAGAGAAGCCCAGATGAACAGTCAGGATACAGAACCTGTTCTGATCTTTTCTCTTTTTTTAACTGCACAGGAGCAACTTCCACCCTGACCTGCAGCTTTGGCGGCAGCCGTGGAAACATTTGAGGTCCTTGCCCAGTTCTGACTCACACCAGGGCAGTGATAAAGCGCCGTTGCCCGTGGTTCCTGATGAAGAGATGAGCCGAGGAGAGATGCTGATGTCGAATGCGTTGGAGAAGCTGAGCCGAGCTGCGACAGCTGCCAACACCTCCTCCCTTCTGTCTTGCTCTCCGTCTCCCTTCCCGTCCTTCCAAGACTCGTACATTTCCAGTGAACATTGTTACCAGAAACCCCGGGCGTACTATCCAGCTGTGGAGCAGCGGCTGGTGGTGGAGACCTGGCAGGGCTCAGAGCTGGAGGACAGCATGAGGAGCACCGAGGAGCTGCTGGAGAGGGAGCAGCGCTACGGGAGCCTGCTGGAGACAGACAAGCCCAAATCTACAGTGAACGGTAACAAGGTGAGGCTGCAGACACTGCAGACACAGTAGAGTCAATCAATGATATGTTGTGGTACAATATGATCCAATTCTTACAGTATATGGTCACTGCTATACATTATAGAATTATATTTTTATATTTTATTTAAAGTGCCCAGGATCTACTTCCAATATTGTTCTGTTCAACTGGTGGGTCCACCCCTGATCTAGGTTACTCACAATGAATTCCAATCTTGATTAATCCTAATCAATTACAATCCAAATGAATTCTGATTATTCACAGCCTGACCCTGTGATTAATCAGATTAAAACCTTTATTGTCTCTGCGTCCTTCTCTCATAGCAGCAGCACAGAGGGATTCTTCAGAGATTCTTTGTCATTTGACTCATGTCTTCGTCCAACTGTCTGCAGGTCACTCTGGCTAACCTGTGGTCCCAGTCTGACATGAAAGATGTGGTGAGGAGAGAACCAGGAGCTGCAGATAAGAACAGACAACACCAGCAGTGGCAGATTAATCTGCTGGACCACATAGATGCAGTCCAGGATGATGTGTCCCACAGGATGGACTTCATTGAGAGGGAGCTGGATGGTGAGCTGTCCATGTCCATGTTATTCTGTTTGGCTTTACCAGTAGATGGGAAATTGAAAATTGTAAAAGGAGTTTTAGTCATCTTTAGTTTACTGATTTAAAATGAAGCCACAACTCATTCTTAGAAATCAGAGCCTTGATCACAATGATGGAAATGATCTTGTAAGTTTGACCCTATTCAATGCACTTTGGTGTGTTTTAAGTCAATGACTACAGTCAGTAGAGTAGGCTCAATATATTTGATTAAATATGTATATAGACTGAAACCTAAATACTGATGGGGTTTTTCCCCTGTTTTAATTGTTAATGAATTACAATTCCTTACTGCCCATTTCTTCCCACAGTTCTGGAGAGTTGGCTGGACTACACAGGAGAGCTGGAGCCTCCAGAACCTCTGGCTCGACTGCCTCAGCTCAAACACCGCATCAAACGGCTGCTGTCGCAGCTGGACATAATGCAGCAGATAAGCTCCATGTGAGGGCGCCAGAGAACAACAGTTGCTGCAGCGCACATTACCTAACTGTGGATGCAGTCAGTGCAGTGTGGGTGCAGATATTCTGGAAACTTCTTGCAGTTTATAAAGTTTTACTGACTGGACTGCTGCACCTGCTGCTGCTGCTGCGTAAGGTCGATACGTGTAACCTGTTGAGCTCCTGTGTAGTGGGATGTAAAGCTTCAGCGTGCCGGTGTCTCGTATGAATATTTGTATGAACATTTGTGGAAATGTTAAATGCTTAAATCAGGATTAAACACAAAGAATTACCTCCTACATGCAGAAGAAATCCCCGAGGCCCAGCGTCCACTTCTGTGGATACGGTCTGGTTAGGACCCCCGTCTCCAGTTCCACACACAGTTAAACATATTTGCAAACCTTTTTTTTATCTTTAGCTTTTTAATCTGGTCAAATACACTCCTCTGTTTTCTCATCAATCCGCCGCCACGATCAGCTCTCAATGGCGTTGAGGTCACAATGTCCAGGATGCATCTTAATGAATTTCTGTTACAGTTTAAGCTCTATGACAATATGCAAATCAGTCCCCCGTCTTGTAAAAGATCCTGTGAACATTTCTGCCCAGAGTCTGGCATTGTTCAAAAGAACAAGTTTTCAAATCTCACACCGTCACCCGTACATTAGAAATGGAAGAAGACATCTTGTCTAAAAGTTGTCTCCAGTATCAACCAAATTAATTCCATTGCCACCAGGTCAACTTATTAATTGTATTGCATTGATATATAAAAAAAAACTACGACATTCAGTAAGCAAAATCAAATGGGAAATCTTGAGATTTCAGAAGTCTCGATTGCTTCGTCCATGTCTAACAATTTGTTACTAAACTGACCATATGGCTGTTGCTTACCTAACATATACCCAGCACTTCTCTGGCTGTCACTGACTAACAGACGAACCCTAAAATATAAAATATAAAATACTACAGCTTACCACCTGGGGCAGTATCTTCAGCCCCGAGTTCCTTCCTCTACTATGAAGTTCCTGGTCACTTGTGTGAAAATGCACGTAGTTCTTGTACGGCCTCCAGAAACGCACCTTTAGGATTTTTGCATAACCATTTTTGTCGCAACCCTGCGTTGTGTGAACTTGACTGTCTAAAATCTTATCATATTACGTCCAGCTTTGAAGAGAAAACCCCTGTCTGGTTTCAGTTTTGTCTTAAAATCGAACTTTTTATTTGTGATAATGACCTTTACTCATGTTTTAGTTGGAGCACTTTGTTTCTTCGGTCTGTTCCTCCTCAGTTTGAACTGATGTTTTGCTATTGAACCTCACTCTCCGTACACTGTAAAATGGAACCTATGCTTGTCTCTCCCTGACCTTTAGCATCTTGTCCTTTTGTTGATAAAAATTTAATGATCAGAACATTGAACATTCTTTTACTCTCTTGGTCAGTTTATTTGGGCTGTCTGTAAATATTTTGTGTAATCTGTTCAACATTCATCAAATACAGGAACTGTACTGCTAATGTACTGTAAATGTCAGATGTAGACGCAGGGGAACTGTCCTGAACAATGCAAAAAGATTTGCTGGTATATAAATAAAGTTATCATTGTTATTAATTATGATGGACTTGGACTTGGGTTTTTTCTTTACCCTTTCAGTGATAACAGTGTCACTCCTCTATATCTCCAGCAGGGGCGCAGTTCCCTAGTATTACGCTAATTTATACATGAAATATGTCGTTTTTATAATCAAAAAATCGGGACAGAGGGAGAACGACGCCCTCATCTGAAAATATCAGAATATGCAAACACCTTCAACTATACCATAAACTATACAAGTTTGAAATCTAAAAAGTTAAAATGTGAATTAATTTATGTCTTCCTAGATACAGGATACAAAGATGACCATCTGTCTCAGTCCAAGTTTTTTTTTTTTTTAACCCTATAAGTTTTGCCTGGTTGATCTTGGCATAAGATGAAAACTGAACTAATATGTAATTCCGTTGCCTCCATTTATTTTTCAGGAACTAGACTGTGACACACTGCGGGTGAGTTGAACTACAGCCTTTGGTTCTGTTGGTTCAGCTGGTTCTTGTTCTTCCAGTATGGTCTGAAATAGTATCCTTCACAGTTTGATGATTTTTTTTTTTTAAATATCTAGGGCTTTCAGCACTGTGGCTGTAGATGAGTTTATTTTGAACCAGTTAAAAGTTAAACCACGCACAGTTGTTAGATGGTGGGCTGAGCAGCAATGAGAATAATTAAAATGTTAATTTAAAATGCAGCCGTGGAGATGGGTCTACGTCGTCAGCTAGTGTCTGTGTGTTGGGGGGTTGTGGTCTTTCTACAGCCCCTCCCTCCATCTGCAGCTGTGACTGGATACAGACTGGGGAGGTTCTAATTGTCTGAGAAAATCACAGCTTAGAAACATTGGACTTCAGGACGTCTTAGCAACAGTACAGAATCAGGACAAGCAAAAACAAACAAAAACAACCCCTCAGATCTACTACAGATGTGAATGACTGTGCCAAGTTTCCTTCCTCTTTTACTACTGCCTGGCAGCTCCGTCTTCTACATCCCTTGAGTAAAATACCACCATCATGTCCAAACCATCATGACCTTGAATTTTATTTGCAAACCTTTTTTTTATCTTTAGCTTTTTAATCTTGTCAAATACACTCCTCTGTTTTCTCATCAATCCGCCGCTAAGTCCAGGCTTTAACAGGCTTTTTTGACGTAGTGAAGTGGCTTCTCCCTCCTTCGTCACCTCAACCCGTCGTTTTCGGCTCTATCGTTATTTAATACACATTCTTTTTATCCTGAGTTTTTTCTAAGCTCATATCCAACTCAAACGCCTCGCATTGATTGACTGTTTGGTCTTTGGATGTTTTAGTTTCATTTACTGATATATTTATACATTAATTAACCTGATTTCTGTCCGACATTTGAGACGTCTTTGGACAAGCCTGTTCCAAAAGGATACTGGTTTGCCACTTTACTCTCAGTATTTGACTTTTTATTCCCACCGCTTTGGGTGTCCGTTATTGGCAGCGGAGTGAGGCCTCCTCCTCACTTCCGAGCTCTGCACCTCAGCGCAGCTTTTTATTGGCTATTCTAAGCTGTCTGTCAGGAGCAGCCTGTGGCTCCACCCACATTCAATCGTAATACTACTTGGTCTTGGAGATAGCGCCGCGAGAGGGTCGTCGATCGTGATTCTTAATTGTAGTCCGTGTACAACATTCCACGAAAGAGGTTGACAGAAGCGTGTTTTCTTTTCCACATTACGGTAAGTCTGAGCTCCAGGTTTTCCGCCGTGTTTTCGTCTGACTGTGACAGATGTGGCCGCTGCCGCCGAAGATGAGAAATCCGCTCACTCCGTTCATACACCTGACCGCACTGTAATGTGTCTCTTTTAGAGGCTTTTATCCAATGTTAAATATTAGTTTATTATAATTGGTTATTTAAAAAATAAAACATTTTTAAAACTGTAGGACTGTAACCGTTGAGCGTTGTAAAGCAACTGCATTTGACTTGAGCCCCAGAGTGATGCGACATCACCGCAGTTTCTCCACATTCTTGTTTTATTACGACTGTCTCTACTGCGTTTTCCTGTCCTTTTAGCTGATGTGAAATTAGCTTCACGTTAAGCTGGTTTATCTTTTTTTTTTGTCCACTTTTGTGAAAATGAAAAAACGACGAAACGTCACTCACGACGGTGGTCTCGTCACCTCATTTGTGCATCTGACAATTGAGACATTATTTAATTAAAGTAAGCAATTAAATTAAAAAAATATTTTTAGATACTACAGGAACAGCTGTTGGGGTAATGTAGTTTGATGCATTACCTGGTTGTGTACTTTATGATGTGTGTCCAAACTCTGGCCTCTGGGCCGATTATGGCACTTTTATCAGTTTTATGAAACCTGTGAGTTATTTTAGTAAGTGTATTTCTAACGTTTTGTCAACAGGGTGCAACTTTTCTATTTTATAAACTTGATTTATTTTATTTTTTTTGGCTTTATGCATTAAAAGTAGTGTTTGTGCGCCATTATTTCATTTCTATCCCGTTACTTATTTCAATCCAACTCTTGCTCAGCCTTCCTGACGTGTTGGGCTGCTTCAACCTGTTTCTGTGTCATCTTATTTTTTACTCTTCGTTCATTTTCAGTTGGATGTCAGTGAAGTGTCGTCTTATGGATGGTAGTAATAGTGAGTCCATGAGGAATAAAGTTTTCACTTCAAACACAGGAAGTGAGGATACTACTAGTACGGAAAGCCAGTGTATTTTCTAAATTGATGTAAACATTTAACAGCATCAATATTAAACTTTTTTTTTCAATAAAACACATTTATATATTTACTTTTAAGCTATGAAAACCAAAACCAGGTATTTTTTTATCACCAAAAGTTGCATCAGAAATGTGCAGGTTGTGTTATATCTGGTAATAACCACTTTTGGACATTTGGTCACCAATGCTGGCTAACATTGCCCTAAATGTGTGGCCCAGTAAGCTAACTTTTAGATTCTTCTTGGTGTTAACTTTTAGCTGTTTTTGTTGAGTTGTATTATTGGTTCACCCTTTATTTTTTTGTCTTTTATTTATTAATTATTATTGTAATTGGAAAGCCTCTCTTAATGTTAGCTTAGGCTAACTTAGCTCCTAGTTGGTGTTAGTGTTTACACTATTTTTTAATAGATTCTTCTTGGTGTTAACTTTTAGCGGTTTTTGTTGAGTTGTATTATTGGTTCACCCTTTATTTTTTTGTCTTTTATTTATTAATTATTATTGTAATTGGAAAGCCTCTCTTAATGTTAGCTTAGGCTAACTTAGCTCCTAGTTGGTGTTAGTGTTTACACTATTTTTTAAATTTCTTTTGTTAACATTAAACAATGTATGCCAATTTTTCATACCTTCTAGTTATCTTTTATTGTGTGTGATGCTGTACATTTGGTCTTGTTTTATATTTTAACTATTGTATTTAGACAATTTATTCAACAATTTGGGTTTTTATTTCCTAATTTTAACATCAAAGTTGAGATTTGACAGTTCAAAGCCTTCTGTAGTCTCTGTAGGTCATTCACACATTGGTATGTGGCACCAAAACACAACGTCTGCTTCTAAAGTTTTAATTATAGAAATGAGTGGTTGACATTTTACTGTGTTCCACATTAAATGGTGGGGGTAATAAATTCAGGTGTCCTATCTGTGACATTGCCCTCCAGAGCGTCACACGAGCAGTATGGCTTGAATGGAGCTGCTTACACAATAAGCAACCCCAACTGGTGTGTGTTGTCACTAACAACATTGTAAATTACACTCAGATTAATGTGTATGTGTGAAACAAAGAGCGGCTGCCTTTACACTGACCTCTGAACCTGTGAGATTTACAACCCCAG